TATATCAACATAAATATCTGTATTCAAAGAATAATCTAAAACAACAAAATTCCATTCACTGGGTGCTAAACATTACGATTTGTGAGCTGTCTAATAATATTTATTCCCACACTCACCGGCACTGCTCCGTGGATTCTTCATTTTGGAGGGCTTCTTGCGCACCTCCGATTGGCTCATGCTGCTGCTGCCGCTGGTGCCCGGGCCRTGTGTGTCCACCTGCATGCTCTCATCGCTGTCGGAGGCCTGGCTCTTGAGCACCTTTTTCAAATTGATGAGCTGCTCGAATGGAGGGGCTTGCTTAGAGTACAGAGTGGCCAATAATCAAAGCCTTCAGTTTACTTACCTCCTGCTCAATGCGCTCCTTGTTATACAGACGCTTGGCCTTCTCGCCATTCGCATACTTAATCTGCATGTCAATGCAGTTCGACACACTATCACAGGAATTGACCCACGCCTGCAAGGTTTCCACTATTTTGCCAGTGTAGCCGGGCGGTATGTCACGCCCCTGGGCGTAGTCCACCTCCAGAATGCGTGTGTTCTGAAACAGTTTGCCATGTATGATGTCTGACGGAGAGAGAGAGAGAGAGAGAGATGGGGACAGATGTTCATTATTATAAAGAGCTTCCAAACTACCACAACAACTCATCAGATTAGCAGCAAAGTCGTTAAGAAACTACACTTAACTTTGAGCTGCTCATGCAAATTATTTATACCCTGCTGGCCAGCAGCACAGATGAAATGTGCGCTCAACGTACATCACTCGCCCGAATGGCAGCCGGAGGCATAGTTCGGACTTAAGTGCCAGAGTCCAATAAATAAGTGGACTCAAGTGTCGCCTGCAGCCGGCTCAAAGGATCAACAGAGCAGAGCAGAGTAGACCAGACCAGAGCAGAGCTGAGCAACTAACTAGCACATTCATCGTTCAGTCTCGAGTGGAAAGTTGCAATTCGTTTGGCCTTGTGGAACTTGTTACATTTGAATTACGCTTGGCCTTGGAGTCTGATTTTGGCTGAAAGTGATTTTGTATGTCATTCGTTGGCTTCTTAGTGCGGTGCCGTAGGCAGAGCAAAGTACTCTCTAGAGTTGGCTGAGCAAGTGTAAATTACATTTATCATTTAGATTGTCTGAAGTCTTAAGTGCATTTCAAGTTCTTATCCTGCTAAATCTCATATCAGCCAATGCAAACTTTTACCATTCGACACACAGCATCCTGCAAATGAATTTTGTGCATCCCTTGACCTCATTTTACTCTGCATTGATAGCCCATTCAATTACATTAAATGAAGGGTCAAACTCGACAATAAGCTGTTAGCGATTTTAGCTTATCCAAATCAAATTTTAAGCTCTCATAATCAACTTTTCAGCGGATTCACTATATCCCTCTATTGATGTAATATCCATTAAAATGATTTCAAAACAAGTACGAAAGCTTAAATTGAGTATAATCGACTAAGTGATACCCTGATAATACTCTCCATAGAATCTATAAAATAAAACTTTTTTAAATAAAAAAAAAAAAAAANAATTTTTTTATTAACTAATAATTATTAAAATAAAGTATTAAGGCAGTTGGCAATTATCTGTATGCTCTGAAACTTTTGCAAATGGGAGCTTAGTTAGTTTTAAGCAATTTGAGTATCAGACTGTGTGAGCCCTATTCCTAATAGCTTCAGTTTTCACAGAGATAAAGATACACGGGGCTGCAGTGAATATAACATCAAATAGGATAGCATTTCATTTCGTATTTTAAATTTATTTTGATGATACAAAAACTAAATAAATTGAAATAATTGTATAACAAAATTATAAATAGGCAACTGAATCAAATCATCACTTTATTTTCCCATCCGAAAAATCTTTTTCAACTTATCAAAGCATAATTTCTAACGTGTAAATAAATATGTACATGTAATATTCAGGCTAAATAATATTCTTCAATTAAAATAAGCCCCAAATATATTACACAAAATATGTTTTGTCTGAGCAATAAATGAGAATAATCAACGACCAACGTCAGTCATTAGAGCAATGAATCATTTCATTACACTGAAATATTATAGTAATTGCAGTAAAATGAAATACATCTAGATATATCTATATATGTGTATATGTGTGCAGCATTCATTGTTTGTTTCCCTTAGAGCGACGATAGCCTATTAGGCCTCAAATTAAATGTTTCGCACACCATTTTGATGGATTCACGTCAATTATGTGGGTGCGACTATGACAGAGGCTGTGCTGCCATGTCCAATAGGTTCTCTGTTCCAATTAGCCACGAATCACTGCGGTGCGTGCAGCTTAGATTCGTGTGTGTAGCGTATTGTTGGTCGAAATTAAATGTTCTAATATGGGCAGGAGCACGAAAACAAATAACATTGAATAACTGCTGAGCACACACATACACAAACACACATTTATCAAAAAAAGAAAACAAAAACAAGTTGCAATATTTCAGCTATTTCATTTGCAATTTCATGAACGTTGTTGTTATTTTTATTTGTTATTTATTTAGCGATAATTTTAATAACTAATAAATGGGTTTCAGAACGTTTTTAGAGTGCTGCTGCTGCTGAAGTCTATAAATGAGTTGCATTTGCCATTCCATGCCGAACGTGTCAGTGATCAACTACCGCGCGGCGCCGCATTGGGCCTCGGCAGTTTGCTGGGCACGCGGCCGGCCTGCACTCACTTGCTGAACTTGAGCCCAACTGCAAGAGTAAATTTTAAACAATTAATATATAAATAATATATATATCAACATAAATATCTGTATTCAAAG